AAATAACCATGCCTGCAGGCAGGTAGGTGACAGACATAGTTTGAAATAGTCAAATTTACCATTCCATTTATAGACTGGCTATACTGTTAAATTTGTGTTCAACTTGAGATTGTTTTTCATCCAAATCAGGAGCGGGCAAATACAAATTTTAATAATACAAATATTTTACTGTTGGAGTGCCATCTGCATATGAGAAATGCTGTGCAGTTGTTGAGGAGATCACAGTAAAAGGCTGTGCATGGAGTTAGTTGCCTTTTCCATGCTGGTGGCAAACTATTGGGACAGGCTTTCATTCTACTGTGTCTTCCTCATACCTCCCTAAAAAAATCTTGAAACAGAATTTTGTGAGACTAAGGAAGCCCTTGAGGGACAGATGAGTGCCAGGCAGTTACTGTTTTGACAGTTGAAGAAAGCTCTTTTTGGGAGAGCGTTGTAGGAACACTGCAGATAGAAGCAGGTGAGGAACTTCAAGTCTGAAGCCAGAGGGAGAGTTGTTGAAGTTGGTAACTGGACCAACTGAGTTAACTTTCACTGGAAGCAGAAGTTGTCTGAAGCAGCATGTTACCAAATTCTGGTTGCTCTGATGGTTGTCTAGAACAGTAGTGAAAGAATCCATTTGGGCTTGGGCAGATGTAACAATACATCTACCTTTCTGGAGGAAAAAGGGAGAAATGATGTTTGTATGCTGGTCAGTACAATGGGCTGTGCCCTGTGGATAGTGTAGTTTACTACTCTAGTAGAAACAAAGACCCAAAATTTAATCAATATTGTCCAGTTTTGTTAATATGGGATTTGGGATATGAAGTACTTCCATATCAGAAGTAAATATCTATATACATGTAAATTGTGTCTAAATAAACATTAAATGTATTCATGTTTATATATAAATTTTTGTTTAGCTGCTGAGAGTATGATCTTTCTCATACATCTAAGTTAGAATGGTTTGCCACAAACCTTTGAGTCAGGGTAGAAGGCAGCACAGAGTGAGTGCCTTTGATTTTTGCTGGATACACAGATGCTGGATACAATTTCTTTTTTCCCTGAATAATGAAAACAGTCAAAAGCTCTTTGAACACAAGCAACAGTAAGAACATACTTCCAGCTCCTGGTATACTTTTTCATAGCTGGTTTAAATGCTTGGTTGTGTAGTGAAAATGAGGGCTGTAGGCTGCACATGAGGAGCAAGTACACTTTTGAATGTTCTGTCATCTGCTTACAGGTTTTCTCTTAGGAGCCCCCATTTTACTGGGGTGTAGAGATCCTGCTCCCTTCCACTCTTCCCACGACCTGTAGTAAAAATGAACAAAAGCAAAAAAGATTAGGAATATATATGTCAAGTCCTGTTCACGATTCTACTCACTGTATTATAGTAATAGTTTGAGGTAATTGGGAGATTGAACTCCTCATTTATCTGATAAGGAGTTTGAAGTATTCTGCAGGTGGCACTATTCAGAATAAACACTGAGATGATAGGAAGGTTAATGCACCTCGTGCAGGTTGGATTGAGTCTCTGTCATTGCTTCTCAGAGAGACATGTACTGATCGTCTCATGTTACATACACAGCACCTTCTTTGGGCTAGATTCTCAGAGATCTGGATATTCTTGTGTGATTGTTCTGGACTATTTTGAACCATACTGGTATAAAAGATACCTGGGACCTCACTGTCAAGAAGATGGATTTTCTAGCCTTGCAAATGCTGTAGGGAAGATAAAGATAGTGTAGAGTAAGGGCTGGACTGGGGCTGCAGGATTTGGAAGCTGAAATTTATCCTTTGAAGTTAATCTAGGAGGAGGGTTAGGGGAATCTGAAATAAGGTAAACTACCTTTATCAGTAATCAAAGATAATTGGAATTCTTTGCCTTCAGAATATCGGAGAGGCATACCAGATAGTCCTTTGACTATGAAATACTGATCTGACTGGTCCAAAACGTGAATGTCACCAAGTTTTACTATTTATCCTGTAGTAAAACTGAGTAAGGGAGCAATGTGGTTCTCTACGAGCTATTGTCCCATAGAAAAGAATGTTTTCCATGGGCAGAGTCAAGGGTGGTATATACTTTAGTTGTCACTTTGTGAAATACAACTACTTTCCTTGTAGTGCCAGTGAGCGTTTAAAAAAAATCTGCTTGCAATTTTTGTCTTGGAGTGTGGATATGTATGGTGTGGCATGAATGTATGTTGTCTTGGGTTAAAACTGAGTTTTATTGCCTGTTTCTCTGTAGCACGATAAACAAAGAACAGTTTTCAAAAAGGAAAAACGATACACTGGACCCTGAACTGTAAGTAATGCTGTCACACTTTGAATGATCCTCATTTCATTATAATTACATTGTAAAAGTCATGTTATTCATTCACCATCAGCTTTGTTTTTCAGTGTTTCCCAAATGTACTATAGCTCTGTTAGCTGGCAGGGTCTGTTCAGTAAACAGCATATCTGGTATTCTGTCCTGAGAGCCCAAGCCATCACAGCTGTACTTGAGAAATATGTAACGCTGTATGTATGGACCAAAATTGTTGCATTTTGTTGTCTTGAATGTGGATTCAACAGAAGGATAAATGCAGATAATTCTGCTTTTAAACCCTGTTGTGGCAAATGCTCAAGTCTCAGAACTGATTTGAGTCACTTGGCAGTAGCTCTTCTGGTGCTGTTGGCTTTTCTAGTTGTCAGATTTTACAGGCAGCTGTAGTAGAAGGAAAAGATGTTAAATTTGAATCAGCCTGTCCTTCCACACTGCTCTAGAAGCTGAACTGTAGATACTCAGTAAAGTTTAGATGATAGTGACTCAGCTGCTTTTCTTTATATTCCTGAGTGGTTTTTTGGAGCCAGTTTACATGGTCCTGTGTTATACACCTGTGCTGCTACTCTGCAAACATTCTCTTTATTCTCAAATGAATGAGCAAAAAGGATACATATTCTTCCCACACCATCCTTCTGAGGGCATAAGAGTCAGATAGTTCTTCCTCTGTTTTACAAGGGCTGTGGGAAGGAGAGAATAGTAACTTGATTCATAACTTCTCTTT